TCCCACTATTGGTGAAGATGCTCCCTGGCTGGTGGACAGCGACTTTGTGTCCAGCACAGCCCAAAAGGCACAAATGAAGCTCCCCATCTGAACAGACAAAGAACAGACACCTAAGGCTTGGATGAAAACCTCCTGTTTCAAAGAACACACTTCTTATCAAGAGGCACCTGGAACAGCAAACGTCACAACTTCCACTTCCTACCCATCCCACTGGCAAAGACAGGGGAAGATAGAAATCGTCACCATCGGTCAGGCTGTGACAAATCCAGGGAGCTGTGAATGCACACAGCCACTTTGGAAAACAGTGATGCCTGTTCTTTAACCCAAGGGTCCCACATTTGCTTGTTTTACAGATGAGGAAACTGAGGCCCTGAGGCAAAGCAGAGAGTGTCCTTCCCCACTCCCATAGTCAGTGGGAGAGAGGAGAGGTTTCAGGACCTGCCGGCCTCAGTGGTTCTCATAGGCCACTTTGCTGGGATTCCCAGGGAGACCCTGGGTTGGTGGGCCTTGCTGACCTCTCCATGGCTCAGCAGTTCTGATGATCAGAACTGAATGAGGCTGGTTCCAATCCATTCAGCAGGTGTGACCTGTGCAGGCTGGGTGACAGAGCCGGCAAACATTTTCATGATGACGGCTGGCGTGCCAGTAGCCACCCACTGAGCCAGGAGTCCAGAGCACCGACGCCTCCCCACCCCATCCCCCTTCCCCCAGCTGCCTGCAGAGAGCACTAGGTTTGGAGTCCAAAGGCTTGGTTTCAAATCTAGACCCTCGAACTTGCTGTGGCCTCAGTGTCCTTGCCTGTCAAGTGAGGAGCTTGGGCTGGGGTTCCTCCCAGCTGGAGCCCCCAGTGACCAGTGTAGGTGACCATTCTTTCCAGAGCACCTGTTGCCTCATCCACTAGAGGTCAGTGTTAACACACATGCTGGGCCTTGGAGACAGAGGAGGGACTGACCGGTCCAGGAGGGGAGAAGGCCTGCCAGGTGCTGCAGGCCTGGCCTGGGTCGGGCTACTTGGCCCCGCCTTGAGAGCTGGAGACTTTCAGAGACACCCACCTACCAGTACCGTGACCCAGACCAGGGACCTTGGGACTGGCAAGCCCCAGCAGGTCAGACAGAGCAAGCCGGTCCCTGGCCAGCCTAAGCTGAAGTGCCGCGGGCAGAGACAGCCCAGCCAGCCCACTGGCTTATAGCTGAGGGTGTATCTGTGGGGAGGTGGGGGATGCTGACGCTGATCATTGCCCCTCTGGGACCTCCCAGAGGACGTTTGAAAGTCACTGGGATGGAAATACTTCCCAAGCTTCAGGTGTTCCTGCAGGTGAGAGCTGGGGCTGGTTTCCAGAGTTTCCACAGTAGGGGCCGGCCACAAAATGATCACACTTGGCCTCCTGCCAAGGCTGTGAGGGCTGGGGTGGGGGGGAGCCACAGGGGAACGCGAAGGATGCCCTCAGGAGCTCATGTGCCACTGGGGGAGGCCCTGGATCGCTACAAAGGAAGTACAAGGTAGTTCTGGGCCAGGGGTGTCTGGTCAGCAAAGGCCTCATGCAGCATGTGGCCTTTGGTCTGAGCTTTGAAAGAAAGCAAGGCTCCAAAAAGCTGAGACCAGCCAGAGGGTTGTGTCTGATCCCACAGATAGTCACGAGTCACTGAAGCTTGTCTGGCCCACAATGACCTGGTCAGGCTTGCTGAGCATTAGGAAAATCACTGGCATCTGTGTGAAGGATGGAGAGGAGTGAGGAGAGAGAGAGGTGGGGAGACCAAGGAGGCCACTGCCATGGGGCCAGAGGAGACTGGGGCCACAGAGCATGACAGCAGAGGATGGAGGGAGAGGTGCTGCAGCAGGCAACAAGCCTGATGAAGTGCCTACTGTGTGCCAGGTGCTAGGAAGATAAGAGGGAGCTGGGAGAAGGGGTATGGTGACATAGAAGGCATGGCCAGCCCAAGCCCATCCCCAGTGCAGGCCCCCCAAAGGAACTCCCCACTGGGAGAAGAGGGCAGGCATGATAGACACAGGAGGTCAGAAGGCAGCTGGGAGGCAGAAACACAGAGATCTGGCAGTGCCCTAGATACCAGGAGAGGGAAGTGGGATGGAGTTGGTGATACCAGCAGAGGGAAGGATGGAGGGGCCTTGACTGGAACAGGGTAGATGGAGGAATGGGGGTGCCCTTCTCAGCCTCCCCTGGCACAGCCCCACCTGGCTGTACTGCCAAAAGCACAGATCTGATCCTGCCAAGGTTCCCTGTTACCCACCCCCAAGACTCAATAGAAACTGGTTCCCAGCCAGCCTTTCCAGGCTCATCTCCCCCGCCCGCTCTGTTTAGCCTCCCCTGGCACCTTCAAGGCTCCAGCTACCTCCTCCAGGAGGCCTGTTCTGATTGCCCTGGTCATTTGGTTCTATCCTCTAGGAAAAGGCACGTAGCAGGCAGGGCCACATTGGCACTGTCACATTCAGTGGCTCAGAGAGAAACAAGGTGTTCCCCAGACAACCCTCTCCTAGCCTCCAGAAGGAAATGTGTGTGCTTGGTGATTTTCTAGTCCGTAAGACAATTATATGCTGATGACCCAAGGGCAGGGACAGGTTTACTTTCCTCTTTGTGGGCCCAGGACTGAGCATGGGGTCTGGAAGGAACTTCATAGACTTTGCATAAATGTTTGATTGACTCATTGACACACTGCATAACTCCCTGAAACTGGGGTGGGGGGCAGGTAGTGTGCCTGAAGTGAAATCTCTTTGTGCTCCTGAAATGAGTTTTAGGACCCCCTCCTCCCTCCCCCTCTCCATCCTTGTGCTGTCAATCCTAGGGCAAGGGAAGGGAGCAGGACCTTTCATCAGACTGATTCCAAGAGTCTAAGAGGTCCTGACAGACATGAACTCACCCATACCAGTGCCTCGTGAACTGCCTGGCTGATTCCATGGGCACATGCCTGATGCCAGAGCTATGCAGGGCCCACAAGCGGGTCATCTTAACCCTGTCCCATAGCACACCTGGGCCCATCTATCCCTGAGGAGACCCAGAAGGGAAGGCAACAGAAGAAATGCATCAGCACCCTCAGGAAGGCAGAATAAGCTGGGCGCCAGCCCAACCAGTGGGCCGGGACATTGAGAACCTAAGGGCATCCATGAAAAGTCTATGAACAAACTGCTGAGGAACTTAACCCCTGTCAGAGCAGCATAACAGCATCTCCCACACTGGGAGATGACAGAGCCCACTGGGAAGCCCTCTTCTGCACCTACTGGCCCCCTGGCCCTCCCTGGGCCTCAGACCATGGATGGGCTAACTCTACATGCAAGCACAGGCTTCGGCACAGCCTGTCGTCTGCCTTCATGTCAGGAACTGGGGGCTCAGAGCAATTATGATTGAACTTATAACCTTTCACCTTGTTTGTGTTCAAGGCCCGACCTTGGGAGTCAGATGAAACCTATGGACCTCTTCTCAAAATGATGTTTTTTGATGAACAGGCAGACTCAGAAAAACCTGGAAAGACTTGCATGGACTGATGCAGAGTGAAGCAAACAGAACCAGAAGAATGTTATACACAGTAAGAGCCACAGTGTTCGATGACTAATATTGATAGACTCAGCCCTTCCCAGCAATGCAAGGTTCTAAGACATCTCCAAAAGTCTCGTGATGGAAAATGCTGTCCACATCCAAAGAAAGAACTATGGAGTTTGAATGTAGACCAAAGCATACTATTTGCTCTTTTTTTTTCTTCTGTTTCATTTTGTTTCCTCTTTCTCATGATTTCTCCCATTGGTTCTAATTCTTCCTTACAACATGACTAATGCGAAAATATGTTTAATAGGAATGTATATGTATAGCCGGTATCAGATTGCATGCCATCTTGGAGAGAGAGGGGGAGAAAAATTTAAAACTCAAAAGCTTATGGAAGTGATGTTGATAAATCAAAATAGATAAATATGATGTTTTTAGATACATGAAATGAAATCTATAGGATCCAGGGGTCACCAATTACATTGAAATCTCTCAATATGGATTTCTTGAGTTCATAGACTCCATGTGAAGAAGTCTTAGCATAAAATAAGCTCGTTAAGTTACAGAAGAGAGCCAAGGGCCTTTGCATGGTGCCCAGGCTTGAAATGAACCGACTGCTGTAGAAGGGGGTGGGAAGATGTCTCCAAAATGAAGCGCAGAGCCAGGCACCAGCTGCCTCCGAGCCCCCCACCCTCAGCCCAGTGCCAGTATCCTTTGTGTGGCTGTCAGAGGTTTTCTCTGAAGACATCATGTGGCAGAACCCCATGATGGTGCCCTCCCCTCCATACAGCCCTGCCCATTCCTGTAGGAGTTTATCCATTGGGATATTGTATGGGCAAGCAGAGGGGTTAGAGCTAGTGTGACTATACAGGGCCAATATTCTCCTCTGACTCAAGGGGCTGGCCTCAATAAACCCCCCCCCAGGGCTCATTCACCTTGTAGTCAGCATCTCCGAGCTCTGCTGGGCTGTGCCAATGGGCAGCTCCACAATACAGAGGACAGAGCACTAGGCCTAGAGTCAGGAGGACCCAAGTTCAAATCTTGCCTCAGACACTTACTAGCAGCATGACTCTGAGCAAGTCACTTCACTTCTGCCTCAGTTTCCTTCCCTGTAAAATGGGGATAATAAGAGCACTTCTCTCCCAGGATTGTTGTGAGGATCAAATAAGATGTTTGTAAAGGGCTTTGTGCAGTGCCCATTAAGCATTATTACTGCTGGTTTGGGGATGGAGAGTGCCCCAGCAGTCACCAGGTCCTCCCTGCCCTGGAGAAGCCAAGGGCCCTTCCACAATGGGATACAGACCTCTAGCTAAGGGCCAGCACTAAGAGATCCAGGGAGCCCTGGGAGCTTCCTAAAGGAGAGGTCTGGGCTGGGCTGGGGGGAAGAGGATGGTGGAGGCAGGAAGAACTGGCCCAGGCTCTGGGGCCTCACAAGACGCACGGTTGTGGATGACCAGGCCGGCAGACCCCACCTCCTATTCCAAACAAAAAGCCAAGTCCAAAGTGAGCCTGGGTGCACATCTTTTATGTACAAATGAGCATCGACACAGGTCACACGACCTTATAAATGGCTGCAGCAACCCTCTAAAAAGAGACCAGCCGAGTGACTGAGCCCGCTATGGGGGGGGGCCCAGGGAGGGTACTTGGGGGAGGTGGCCTTGGCAGGAGTTTAGCATGCCCCACAGCCTGGGGCTCAGACACTCCAGGGAGGGAGCCTGGGGGGTTCACCACAGGTGCTGCATCCTGAGGCACACCGCATGATCCATAAAGGCACTTTGTGAGAAGCCTATGGTGGGCCACCTCAGCCTTTCCCATTCTGGACTCTCCCAGGGAAGGGGGTGATTTCATAGCACCAACGTCTGCACCCTTTCTCCTCCTCCAGTTCAGCGGCTCTTCCAGCTCATCTGCCACCCTCGCTGACCCCATGCCTGGGAGGGACTGACCTCGAGGGGCCGGGCCTTTTCTGGGCGGCCCTAGGGGGCAGGCCCCTGAGGTCACTCAAAGCGGCGTAGGTGGTTATACAGGGACTGCACGTACGTGAAGACACACATGGGGTCCGGCTTCCGGCCCATCACCATCATGTCGTCTACCTCGATGAGGCGGTCACACTGAGCCAGGTTCCTAGGACACAGGACAAGAAGGCAACCTCTCAGCCTTTACTGCGTGCCTGCTCTGTACCAGCCCCCCACCAAGTGCTGGCCATATTAGCCCCAGGGCTGCATCCCAGGATGCTCAGACTCTGTCACTGGGGCTTATCCCATTTCATGGAGCAGAAAACTGAGGAAGCAGGTCCTGAAAGGAGAAGGGACCCAACACAAGGACACATGGATATTCACAGAGCCAAGAGCTGGGGGGGGGGGGTGACCTCTCAAGCCAACCTTCACATCGATATAACAAAGAGTATCCTGGCGCGGTGGAGAGGGTGCCAGCCCTGGAGCCAGGAGGACCTGAGCTCAAATTTGGCCTCAGACACTTGACACCCACTAGCTGTGTGACCCTGGGCAAGTCACTTAACCCCAATTGCCTCACCAAAAGAACAAAAACAAAAGCCATAAATAAAAACAAAAATATCCGTCATATTTATATATGGTGCCCAGGGAAGGATGAGAGTCTGGGGCCCACAGGACCCCAAGCCATTCCACCCAGCAGGGGGGGATGTTTGCTCAGGAGAGCTGGGAAGGCCCAGGGGACAAGGCCTGAGATGAGGTCTCGCCCACAAACATGCTGCTGCCACTCTGGGAGTCTTAGGGAGGGTGGCCTGGGCCTCCACTCCAAGCCCAAGATAAAGTGTAACCTAAGCCCCACTAGCAGGCCCTGGCTGTGGGCCCAGGGCTTCCCAAAAACCAAAGGTCAAGGCGAAATTGAGCCATCTGTCACAGGCTGTCCCCACAGCTATTTGAGGCTCAAAGCCGGCCCCAGCAAGGGACAGCAAGTGAGTCTGCAAGGACAGAGCTGGATGTGGGCCAACGCCCCAGCCCCTTCTTCTCCAGAGGCCCAGCCAAGCTTGGCCATCAGGGTCAAGAGCCTCCTGTCTGAGTCCAGGCATCTTCTCCGCCTGGGAGCGCCTCCCCCTCCCATCCCTGCTCTTTCCTCCTCCCCTCCCTCTCCCATCCCTCCCTCTCCCACTCCCTCTTCCCCTCCCCCCTCTCCTCCCCTTCCCCTCCTCTTAGCTTCCTTCCAGTCCCACATTCTCCAAGATCCTGATTTCCCTTAACGCCAGCGCCTTCCTCCAACTGACCACTCCAGTTGGTCTGGTGCATGGCATGTCTGTACAAAGCTGTTTGCTCCTTGTCTCCCCCATTAGACTGGGAGCTCCCTGAGGGCCGGCAGGGGCTTTGGCTTTTCTTTGTATGCCTAGGCTTAGCACAGGGCCCAGCTCTAGTAGGTACTTAATAAACAATTAGTGATTAGCATAGGTAAGGTTCGGTCAGAAAGATTCTGGCAAACTGGCCCCCATTTTCACCTTTCCCAGATCCCCAAGCTGCCCCTGCCTGGGGAGCTCAGCTAGCTGGAAGCACAAAAGCCTCTGCCTGCATGCCGGCTCTGGGACCCCTGGAGCCTCAGTGTCCTCCCCTTGACGCCTCAGTCGCACTAGGGCCTCCTGGGGCAGTAGGGCGAAGGGCCCCAGAAGCCACATGGCCCTGAGAGAGCAGGCAGCTTGGGGGCCGGCTTTTCTCAGGAAGAATTTTCCAAGTGTGTTAGGAAATCTGATGCCCTCAGTTCAGTTTTCACCAGAGACACATGGAAACCACAAATAGCCTGCCCCCCACCCCCAAGTTGTTCCAGCTGTAACCAGAGAAGCTGAAAGACATCCCGGGCAGGGTAACCGCGAAGCTGCCTTTGCTGGGCTGGTCTGCCCCTCTCTGTGTCGGAAGCTCATCATGCAGGCTCGCTCACCTCTGTCCCTCATGGGGGCTGCTGAGTTCACACCCCAGAGGACCCCCCCAGGGCCAGCAGGCAGCCCACCCCTCCCCTATGCTGCCACATCGATAGGTTTGGGTAACATGCTCACAGACACATTCACTGCCTCCTTAAGGCCCAAGGCCCCCTCCTGCTCTCCCAGTACCCAGATGCTGTTAGCCCTGTCTCCCAGAAAGGCCAGCTCCTCTACCTGTAGGAGGGCTCGAAGATTGTCCCCTCTATCAGCCCCGCTCTCGCTAATTAATTTTCAATCTTTCCTCTACTGGCTGCTTCCCTGCTGCCTATAAACATGCCCAGAACTCTTCCATCCTCAAAAACCTGCCACCACCAGCCACCTCCACCCGCAGCCCCACCACCCTCCCTTAATCTGTCCCTTCACGCCAAACTCCCTGAGGAGCCACCTGCAGTCGGTGTCCCTCCCCCTTCTCCTCTCTCACTCCAGCTTCTGGCCTCCTCCTTCACCACAACTCCTTTGTCCTGAGTTGACAGTCTCTTGGTCTCTTAGTCACCGAATCCAGGGCCTTTTCTCTGCAGCCTCAGAGCCTGTGGGTGGCTCTCCTCCTCCCTCTCTGCCCATGAGTCAAGCCCGCTAACTAAGTGGGAGCATCTCCCGAGGATGCCTGGGGTCTCCTCTTCTCCCCTCTCGGTGGGCTTCCACAGATTCAGCCGCATCCGTGCCACCTTTCTCTCCACCTCCAGCCTCCCCCTCCCAACTTGGCTGCTAGTTGCTGGGGCCTTCTGAGACCACCTCCATTTACACTGCATATTTCTAGGCTTATGACTCCACCAGGACAATGTGCGCTCCCTGAGGGCAGGGGTTTCATCTGCTTTGTGTGCCCAGAACTTACCACAATGCCTGGCACACTCTAAGTAAGCCCTAGGCTTGCTGACAGACTTCCCTTTTCAGTCCAGGCCAAAAGGCTCGGGCCCTGGTCCATTCCCATCTGCTGTTGAGGGGCTCCAGGCAGAACCATCTTCCATCTCTTCTAGGCCCCCATTTATAGAACAATGAAGGCTACTGAAGCATTTCCTCACATCGGTTTTGGGATTCCCCCACTCCCAGAGGAGGAAACTGAGGCACAGCTCAGCTCTCTCCCGGCATGTCATATGGCTCTCAGAGGAAGGCTCTGCTGGGCTCTTGGTTCTGGCAAGCCCATGGCACTCCAGCTCTATCTCCCCAAAGATGGCATCCAGGCTAAGTCCCACTGGGCAGCTAAAGGCAGTTCTAGGTGGGGTAAATGATTCGCCCCTGAGGCTGTCCCTGGGCCCTCTGGGACAATGCTCAGGCTTGCGGGGACACATGCGGCCAAGCTTGGGTTGGGAAGGAAAGGGGCGAGGCCAGTGACAGAAGAAACATCTGCTGGCCCCAGTGGCCCTGCCAGGTCCCATCTGTGTCTGAAGTGTCCTGGGAGGGAGAGAGGCCAGGACACTCATCCTCCTCCTCCTCTGCCTCAGGGCCAACCTGGTCATTCTAGGTATGTGCTCAGGGCCATCTTTCTGCTCACTTCACTTTGGATCAGTTCGTGGAAGTCTTTCCAATCTTCTCCACCTCTTTCACATGCACTGTTTCTTAGGATACGTAACAGTCCTTACATAACATCCCACAGCACAGCCATTCCCCAACTGATGGGTGGGCACAGACTTGGGGGCCATTCTGGGGCTCTGGGATTCAAGGAGATGGGATGGGATGGAATGGGGTGAGGACATGGGACAGAATGTTACAAAACTGCACCAATGACGATGGCCCAAGACCCAGAGCAGCTCTCCAAGTGAGGAGGGCCAGCTCCAGAGACCAGCTGTGGCCCGGTCAGCTCAGGATGTGATGTCCCAGCAGCCCTCGGGAAGGAGGCCCCAGCTCAGCCCCACCAGGCTAACTTTAGCTGCTGGGTGCCACTTGGGGTGCCCAGTATGCAGAGAGATGGCAGCCGAGGCCCCTCTTTCTCCACTCCTGGTCTGAGCCTTTGCCCCCTCTTGGAGCCTGGGACCCTGGGTGAATCTTGTCAGAGCACTGGCTCAGGGTGCTACCATGGATGGTCTTTGGAGGAAGCTTCTGCGGTCTGGACAGTCATTCCCTGGGGAGAGCAAGGCATCTGGGGCAGATCCCTGCCCTGCCGGTCAGGAGACCCTGCTACTACTTCCCACTGACACTCAGTGCTCTCTGGGCTGACTCAGAGATCTCATTCGGGTCAGATCAGGGAGCAGGAGAAGTCAAGGACAGGGTCTGGGTCCTTGGTTCTGGTCTCCAGCCACAGGCTGGCCCCTCTCCCCCTTGTCCTCTGACTAGCTGATCAGTCTGTATCCCTGGTCCTAGAGGGGACCGGCCAAGAAAGTGTGCACGGTTCAGATCAGAAACTTGGCTGGGGATTGGGGACTCCCTCAAACACTCAGGAAGGTGCTCTAGGCCAACCCCAGACCTGTAAGATGCAGGCTCCATGATGAAACAGGACAATGATAAATGTTGGAGAAGATGTGGGAAAATTGGAACACTAATGCATTGTTAGTGGAATTGTGAACTGATCCAACCATTCTGGAAAGCAATTTGGAACTACGCCCAAAGGGCTATAAAACTGTGCATACTCTGACCCAGCAATAGCACTTCCAGGGCTATAACCCAGAGAGATCATACAAATGGGAAAAGGACCCACATGTACAAAAATATTTATAGCAGCTCTTTGTGTGGTGGCCAAGAATTGTAAATTGAGGGGATGCCCATCCATTGGGGAATGGCTGAACAAGTTGTGGTATATGAATGTAATGGAATACTATGGTGCTATAAGAAATGAGGAGCAGACAGACTTCAGAAAAACCTGGGAAGACTCATATAGTCTGATGCTGAGTGAAGTAAGCAGAATCAGGAGACCATCGTACACCATAACAACACTGTGAGATGACTAATATTGATAGACTTAGCCCTTCTCAGCAATGCCAGGATCTAAAGCCTCTCCGAAGGCCTCATGATGGAAAATGCTGTCCACATCCAAAGAAAGAACTATGGAGTTTGAATGCAGATTGAAGCAGACTATTTGCTCTCCTTTTCCTTTGTTGTTTTGTTTTATTGCTTCTTTCTGGTGGTTCCTCCCATTATTTCTAATTCTTTTCATCATGACCAATGGGAAAATATGCTTAATATGAACATACTAATAGAACCTATATCAGATGCACACCATCTTGGGGAGGGGGGAGGAGGGGGAGAATTTAAAACTCAAAGGCTTATGGAAGTGAATGCTAAAAACTAAAAATAAATTAATTTTCAAGAAAAACAAGACAAGACAAAACCCACTGCCTGCCTCCAGGTACTCACTCGGCCATGGAGAAGGCCAGCTCAAAGTTCTTCTTCCGCTCACCCGGGTCCAGGGAGTTGTAGTCAAAGGCTTCTGGGAAGAAGGAGTGGATGAGGGCACAGAAGGCCATGCCATCACTCCAGCTGGAGGAGAAGTTTTGGAGGTCGACATGCTGCAGGGACCCAGAGAGGGAGGGAGAGAAGAGTGAAGGCCAGGCCTCTGCATCCCAGAAGAAAACGGGGAGGGAACAGGGCCTCCCTCCAGTCTCCTGCCCCAAGGGCATGGCCTCTTCCTCTTTGCCCTGAGATCAAATCCCATGCCAGAAACGCTGACCCTGGGCCTGCCATTTAATCCATGCCTCAGTTTCCACATCTGTAAAAGGGGATGCTGATGCCATAGTAAGAAGCTGTGTGGCAGAGGGGCTAGGGAGGAGTCCAGAACAAGGGGGCTGTGTAACTTCAGTACCTCCCTTGACCACCTCCCCAGACAGGCCACTAAGAAAGTGAGGTACATCAGCAGAGTGGGGTTCCTCACTGAACCTCAAACCTGCCTCACCGAGTGGCTATAGGGACCCCAACCTAACTCCTGCTAGGAATCTTCTTCTCGGCCCCCACGCCTCAGCATCTCCTGCCCAAGCAGTCGACCCTTCCCCTCCCCCCATCCAGGGAGGGCTTCTCCATCCTCAGGACTCACACTCAGGATCTTACCTGGTACCCGATGGTCTTGGAGCGGCACCATTCCAAAAGAATCTGCTTGATGCTGCTTGCGCTGGCCACACCAAAGCTCTGTGAGCGCTTGAGCTTGGCCCGGGACTCCCCTCGGCCCCTGGAAGACAGAGAGAGGCAAGGCTGCAGGGCTGGCCTGGCCTCGGGCCTCTCCCCACAAGCGGGCATCCATCCCTCCCCCTTTCCAACAGAGCACCAGGTACCATCGAATCCAGGGCCGGCTGCTGGCCTGCCTGTATGTCTGGGCTTGGGAGCCTTCCCACATTCCCGGGGCTTACCTCCTGGCAAGGGGAGTCAGGGCACCCCAGGGGCTCTGGGGCTGTGCTGCAATGGATGCTGCTGCAGAGTCACCAGGGCCCCTCTGGCCGCCCCACTGCCTTGTCACTCAGTCCAATCATCACTGATGAAGGGACTACCGTGGGGTCATAACTGGGTGCTGCTAGGTGAGAGCTCAGACAAGCTGTCCCCCTGCACAATCCCCCCTGAACCCAGCTGGGTGCAGAAGGTGGGCAGCTCATACTTGCCGGCATCTTGTTCCCACTTCTCGAAAAGAGCTTTGCGGGCCTGAGCCCCAGAGGTCCGTGGCAGTGTCTGGGATCTCACCAGCTCCCTGCGACGCTCCCCCTGCCGATGGCTGACTGCTGGCGGTGGTGGGGATGGCGATTTGGGAGGGGTCGCCTGCTGGAAGCTGGAGGAAGGGCTGCTCTGACACAAGAGGGCAGGACGCCTTCTGCTTCCCTCTCCCCCCGCCCCCCAAGGTGGGCACAGTCCCACAGTGAAACCCAGCAGAGCCAGAGGGCTCTTCCCCTTCCCATGAGCTCCTGTGGGCAGCAGCAGACAGCTATTCTGACCCCAGGAAGGGGCCCCTGGCTCAAGCCACCAACTGGCCTGCCAGTTCTGTCCCCTCAACTTGCTGGCCAGGAGTCACTCTGCCAGTCCAGCCAGGCCCAGAGGCCTGGGAGAAGCCTCCCGCATCCCCACCTGGGGCTGAGATCCCGAGGACAGGCCCAGGATCTCATAGGCAAAGAGCCAGGGCAGAAGCAGCTTCTGAACCAGGCCCCGACGTGGCCCCCTCACTCCTTGTGGATCAGGCCAGCTCTGAGTCACCCCTTCTATATAGTGCCCAGTAAAACCCAGAACAATGCAGACTTCAATCCACCCTGGCTGGCAGGAATGGACTCTGAGGCCCTAGCCAGCCTACATCAGGCCACCCCAGGGGCAGGAGCTGCAAGACATGGTCCCGCAACATGGCAAGCTCTTCAGGTCTCCGAGACCAAGACCTCTGTTACAAATGCAAAACCAAAGGCCTAAATGCAAGGTCAAGGGATGCTGGGCCTCAGGCTGCACTGCAAGGTCAGAGGCTATGGTGGCCATGGGAGGGCACGAGTGGTCACAGGTGGCCGTGGATGCTGGTGGGAGGCTGGCTTACCTTTCACTGTTGACAAAGACACTGGTCATCCCAAAGCTACTGACTGAGGAGGACCCGGTGACCCTGAGGCTCTTCTCTAAATGTCAGGAGAAAAGACACCAACATATAGAACCCTAGGCCACGTGAGTGGGACAGCCCGTGGGGCTCCCGCCGACAGCCCGGGGCCCATCTGGTCGCTCCCCCCTCCCAGGCTCAGATGCTTTCACCACTGCTCAAGCTTGAATAGGACCTGCCCCTCCTCCCCTAGTGATCCCCAGGCCTCAGACTGGGGGAGGAGACTGGCAGCAAGGGTCACTTGGGGCAGCTCTGGGACCACAGAGCACAGACCTGGAAGGAGAGCCAGCCACGCCTCAGAGGCCTTCCCTCCCTGCACTAATCAGCTACTTTCTGTGTGACCCTGGGTGGGGCCAGAGGGAGAGCCCATGCTCAGGGAAGGCACCGGCCTGCCCCCAAGAGGGCTCACAGACTAATAAAGGCTAAGAATTGTATTCTCCCCATTGAACAGAAGGGAAAGCTGAGGCTCAGCCTAGTGGCCAGCCCTGGTCACACAGCTGGCACTGGAGGCAGGATCTGGGCAGCCAGTGTTAGAAGATGTTACCCTGCCTCAGTATTCCTGTCTGTAAAGAGCTTTATGGATATTCTCTCACTGGACCCTCACAACAACCCTGACAGGGGTCATCCCCATTTTACAGATGGGTTCAGTGACTTGCCCAGGGTCACACAGCTGCTAAGTGTCTGAGGCTAGATTTGAGCCCAGGTCTTCCTGAGCCCAGGCCCAGCACTCAGGGCACTGTGACAGCTGCCCATGACATTTTCAGACATTGCTCTGGGGAGGAGGGTCTGAGAGCCTAAAGGAGGGGGAGGGGATGGCTCCAATAACTGGAGGTTGGGGGTGAGGACAGGCAGAGAGTGAGGCGTGGTCAGTCAGCAGCCTTCCTCCTCTCCCTCCCTACCGCAGAGCTCCCCACCCCACCCCAACCCCAGGGCCAGAGCCTCCCTTCCCCTCCCTACCTGGCTGGCTGGAAGTCTTCACTGCCTCGCTGAGGCTTGCGCTGTGCCCCTGGGTGGCCCTGAAGGCACCAGAGCGGGCCAGGGTTGGGGACACAATTTCCCCCGAAACCTTCTCTGGGCCCCGGGTGATGGCAGTGACAGGCTGGTGGGGCATGCAAAGAGACCTGCTCGAGGGATGGGGCTCGAGGGGCCCAGGGAACTCTGGGGAGAGAACAGAGAGGGATGGAGGGTGAGTGAGACAGCATCCATGGGGTGGGCCAGGAGCTGAGGCTTCAGCCTCACCCAGGTCAGCACTGGGGGCTGCTCCCCAACCTGGACCCCATCCTCACAGAGCCCAGGGAGCAGCCAGGCCCGGTTCCGTGGGCCAGCTGGCCCCTCCTCTCACTTTGCCAACACTGACCAAGCCCCTCCAAGCCCCGCCTGCAGGCCAGCGTTCAATCTCAGATCCCCCCAAAGGACCACTTTTATCCTATTACTTCTGTGCTCAAAAACCATTGGTAGCTCCCCACTTCCTACCAGATAAAAACCAAATGTCTTCTGCCCGGCATTCAGGGCCCTGCCATGCTCAAACCTCCCCTCCTGATCTCCCCTTTCAGCCAGCACTGCCCTCCCAGCCCCTGCCCACCACAGGGCCTCAGCACCCAACATTCCCCAGTCTGGAGCACCAGCCCTGGCTCCTGGGCTCCAAAGTAACTCAACCTTTGGGGCCACCTCCCCTGGAAAGCCCTCCCAGACTGTAGCATGCTGACCCCTCCCTTCCCTGGATTCCCTCCCATGTGGCTCATTTGGGGACATTGCTGGCAGCAAAAAAGGGGTTTTCTAACTTTGTTCTCCTAGGGTTTCCTGTGCCCCTCCCTCCAAGGCAGGATCAGCACCTCAGCCAAACCCAAACCGTTGTGAGGCACAGGGCTGGGCACACTGCAGGCTGACAATCAGCACCTGAGGGTGAGAGATGAGCGGCGGCCCCACCCCACAAGGACAGGCAGGATCCCAGAGTCAGACAGCGGCAGAGCCAGCCTGCTCCCTGACAGAGAATCCCCTCTCCAGCAGCTGGCCAGGGGACGCTCTCCCCCCTGCCCCTCGCTCCAAGGGCCAGCCCCAGCTTCTCCTGCTTCCCATCAGTCCTGACTCTGCCCGCTCCAACCTCACAGTACCTGAACAGCTCCTGAAGCCTCATGCCTTCTGCAGACCCTTTGGGTACTCCCCTGTGGCATGGTTGCCAGACCGCTCACCGGCCCCAAAATGAACTGGAGGAAGGCTGTCCAGAATTGGAGCCAGGGAGCCTGGGCAGCGGTCACCTGGGGCTGAGCCCAGGGAGATTCCTCACTCACCTGCCATCACCTGGTGCCCATTCTCCATAACTGAGACATTTGAGATTCTCTTCACCTCCGAATCAGCCCGTTCTTCCTGATCCAGGCTCTGAAAAGACAGAAGACTGCGCGTCTGTGTGTCCCCCCTGTGCCAGAGTCTATCCCGGTCTCTCAGGGTCCCCTTTATCATAGCCAGATGGGGAACCTCTCTTCAGTCTCCCTGGGGTCTGCTGTATGCTCTCTCACTCATCCTCATAACACCCCGTCCTGTCCTTTAGGGAGGACAAATTGTCTGGAGGAAAAAAGTGATTTCATTCTGGAGAGCAATTTGGAACTACGCCCAAAGGGCTATCAAACTGTGCATACCCTTTGACCCGGCAATAGCACTTCTACGGCTGTATCCCAAAGAGATCATACAAATGGGAAAAGGACCCACATGTACAAAAATATTCATAGCAGCTCTTTCTGTGGTGGCAAACAATTGGAAATTGAGGGGATGCCCATCCATTGAGGAATGGCTGAACAAGCTGTGGTATATGAATGTAATGGAATACTATGGTGCTATAAGAAATGATGAGCAGGCAGACTTCAGAAAAACCTGGAAAGACTTGGATGGTCTGATGCTGAGTGAAGTGAGCAGAACCGGGAGAGCATTGTACACGGTAACAGCCACACCGTGCAATGACTAATATTGACAGACTTGGCTCTTCTCAGCAATGCAAGGATCTAAGATATCTCCAAAGGTCTCATGATGGAAAAAGCTATCCACATCCAGAGAAAGAACCGTGGAGTCTGAATGCAGATCGAAGCAGATTCTTTGCTCTTTTTTTCTTCTGTTGTGTTTTGTTTCCTCTTTTTGATGGTTCCTCCTATTGGTTCTAATTCTTACTTACAACATGACTAATGTGAAAATATATTTAACAGGAATGTAAATGTATAGCCTATATCAGATTGCATGCTGTCTTGGGGAGGGAAGTGGGGAAGAAAGGACAGAAAAATTTGAAACTCAAAAACTTCTGGAAGTGATTGTTGATAAATCAATTAATTTTTTTAAAAAGTGATTTCAGTTACAGAAGGAGCCAAAGGCAGAGCCAGAGGAGGACCCAGGCTGCTGGGCTCCCAGGCTAGGGTTCTGTCCATCAGACCACAGTCATCCCATGTGTTCCAGGAGGGGGAGGAAGAGAAGGAAAGGAAGGGACAGAGGGCGGAGGAGGGGGAGATGATAAAGGGGGAAGAGGAGGAGGAGGAGGGGAGGGGGGAAGGGAGAAGGGGAAAAGGAGGAAGGGGAGGGGAAGGAGGACAGATCTTTCCCAGCGCTCTCACAATTCTTAAGCAAAGAAGGGATCGAGGTTGTCAGAAAAGAAAAGACAAGTCACTGATGGCATAAAATTCAAAGACTCAAAGACTTCACCCAGACCACACGAGTGCAGCTAGAGTACACGGAAACTTGACTGGAAAAAAGTCTAAGCACTAAATGTCTCTGCGAGTGGAGGGAATAGACACAAGTGGCCTCAAAAACACAGATTAGAGGGGCAGCTCCTCCAGGGCAGTGGCCATCTCTGACCTCTCTTTCTATCCCCAGCACTTCACTGTAGGAGGTTCCTGAAGGCTTGTTGACTGACTAACAGATCTGAGAGCCAACTGAACTGTTGGCTTATAATGACCAGTCCCGGTCCCAGACAAGTGAAGGAAGCCACACGTCCCTCCTCTCTCTGCAGAGAGATGGGAGACCAGAGTAGTTGAGTCAGCTGCTTTTCCTTCCCTGCTTGGCAACAATAAAATCTAAAACCAAAGATAAATAATAAAGATAAATAAAGATAAATAATGAAATCTAAAAATAAAGACACACTTGCTGATCCCTGGTTAGAGTGCAGTCCAGAAATGCGCTGTCCACAGGGTTGGGAGGCCTCAATTCAGATGCCAACTCCCACACTTCTTAGCTGCATCACCTCCCATACAGGGATGAGCCTCGCACTCTACCTTCTCCAGGCCAGGGGGAGCCAAGCGCTTTGTGAGCCTCTGCCTCCTCCTCAGACCCCCTGGGCCTGACCAGAGTGTGGCCTGCAGAACCAGGCAGCCACCTTGGGCATCCAACCTCCCCACACTCATCACCTCTGTCAGGGTGGCAAGCCTGGCAGGGTCCACCACACATGCGCCTGGCCCAATAGCCCCTGGGCGTGGTTCTTTTTTTCCTACAACATGATATGTACAATGGGTGGCCCACATCTATTATTGAGGCCTGGGGGCCAACATATCTGCACGTGGCCAGGCTGTCCTCCAAACATTCTGCCTCCTCTGCTGTGTCCCTCCCCAGGGTCAAATTTCCCAACACCATAAAAATCTCACTACCCTCAGCTCAAAGCTGGGGCACGCCCAAGATGTCCCTCATCCCATAGTCTCACATCTCACCAAAGGGGGAGAAGGGGAGAGTAACCTGGTCCGGGGTGTCCCCCCATTGGGGACCCCACTCAAAGATATGCTCCACTGGTGGGAGCCCAGGGCAACTTCTCTAGACCCCTGCAGGTCCCAGCAAGGGCAGCCACAAGAAACCCCAAACATCTCTGTTCTGCTGATGTCAGGTCATGTCAAATGATGCTGGCAATCACGTCTCCCACCTGGGGCCTGAGGACTCAGTGGGACACCTACTTCCTGGCCTGTTCATTTGGGAGTGGCTTAACTCCTTCTTTAGCCCAGAGGTAGGGCCTGCTGGGATCACCCTCTCTGACCCTGCAAGGTGACTATTTAAAATGATGCCAAAATCCCAGAAGGGAATCACGGATGGGAAGTGTGTGAGCTCTGCCCACAGCAAGCCAGTATGGGGTCACTGGGAACAAGTCGTCATCTCCTGTGTTACACAAAGTCCCAGCCAGACATCTAAAAAACCAGAAAATAGGAATATACTTCCAATGGAAGGGGTGACATTTTCATTTCAGAAATAGGAATTATTGGGGTTTTGATCACATAAAAATGAAAACTTTCTTTAGAGGAAAAGAATATATATTCAAGATAAAGAGAAATAGGCCAAGCCTGGAATATGTTTATGGCTTACAAATGACAAACGTATATTTAATCCCTAGCAACTCCCAAGGAGCTGATAAAAACCCACTCTGGGATGCACAGACTCTGCGGGCTGGAAGGACCACTGGTGGCCACTGGATCCAGCCTCCCTGCAAAGAAGGCAGGCCCCTGACGAGATCCCTGGTGAGGGGAGGTCTGGCCTCTGCCAGAAAGAGCCTAGAGAAAGAAGCTCCCCCCGACCCCCAGACTGGTGTCCTCTCTGCATGAATCGTCCTGCCGGGAACATACCTGGGGAGCCCAATCCTAAGGATGTTGGCGTCAGGAACATGCCTTATAGAAAAAGCAATAAGGGATGTCTGGTGGCTGGGGATTGTGGAAGAAATGGGGGCACATCCCCAGAACAGTGGATCCATAAGGTAAAGAAGTGGGTGAGGTAAAGAAAGCAGAGGCCACTGGCCAGAAGACATGCCCACACGGGGCAGGGGCGGGGGGGGGGAATCCAAGAGGGTGGAGGTGACCTCAAAGACCTAAGGAACAATCCCATGGGAGCCTAAGGGGGTGCCTGAGAAGCTGCTGGGGAACGTGTTCCATGCCAAAATTCTAGGAACCAGAGGAAGCAGGTTCAAAGTATGGTGGGGAGTTTTGCTGACATTTACATTTTCATTCACAACCCGTTAAGGTTTTTAAATGTGATTTTCCAGATTTCGAGGCTTCCCCATCCCCCAGGGACCAATGTAGATGCCAACTCCTCACCCACTCCTCCTCCTCCTCCTCCACCCCTAGAGTGCATGGTCTGGGGAAAGAGCTATAGGCTTTCACTGAGCCCACCAGCCCCGGCTGGTGCCCACTGGCAAGGCCTCATTGATACACCCCCCAAAGGCCAGGCAGGGGTGACCAGTGGCTACACCAGCTTCTCAGTAGGCGTCCTCCCATCCTCCACACAGGGAACATCCCTCCCTTACCACGGTGCAATTGTCTCTGTCCCCAGAGCCTCTAAAGAGCCTGGCATACAGTAGGTGTTTAATACGTGCTCACTGATTGGCTGAGCTTTTATATTTAAGTGAATGGTCCAGGCAGCTGGGTCTAAATGGCACATTTAAATGCTAATGAGCGGTTACTTAGAGTTACTCAGATTCCTCACAAGCCCCTAGGCCTGGAAGGGCTGGTCTGAGCAGGAGGAGGAGAGCCCTACCATGACCCCAGTTTGGACTGGGGGGAGGTGTGGGGCCCTATTGGCTGCTGGAATCTGGGTCCCTGATTCCCAGGGGCTCTCTTTGCCATGCCATGGGGCTGGTATTTCTGGGTCAGCCACATTGACAGGCTGAGAGGAAGGTTTCAGTGAGATTCTCAGGTATGACACTTCATTTTTCTCATAAGAAGCTTCACCTTGTGGGATATATGTGTGTGTGTGTGTGTGTGTGTGTGTGTGTGAGAGAGAGAGAGAGAGAGAGACAGAGAGAGAGAGAGACAGAGAGAGAGAGAAAGAGAGAGAAAGAGAGAGAGAGAGAGAGAGAGACAGAGAGAGAGAGACAGAGAGAGAGAGACAGAGAGAGAGAGAGACAGAGAGAAAGAGAGAGAGAGAGAGAGAGAGAGAGAGAGAGAGAGGAGAGAGAGAGAGAGAAGAGGGGAGGAGAAGAGGGAAGGAGAAGAGGGAGGAAGGAGGGAAAGGAAGGTGAGAGAGAAAGAAGAGAGGGGAGAGACAGAGCAGAGAGATAGATGGGGGTGGGGGGAGGGAGAGAGAGCAAACCTGTCCATCTGTTCATTCTCCTTTCTACAAATAACTGTGATTGAAGAAAGTCTTGAAAATAAGATTGGAAATAGGCAGGCGTGTCAAAACAACTAGGTAGCTACACTTCCTTTTTGGAGAGGACAACTCAGTCGAGGGAATGAGGCAGAGAAAGGTCAGGAAGACTCCCCTGAAAAGCATCTGGTGGGGGCCGCCCTACTGCCCAGGGGACATGAGGGAAAGACACACTGGAGGGCACCTAGGTAAACTCAGGAAATCCCCTGCGGACCCTCCCACCTGGAGCTATGCCCCCCAGTGGGCCTAGGAGTAGCTCTCTCATGAAATATCATTACTCAGAGAGTAGC